TTTTTTTTTTTTTTTTTTTCGGGTTTTTTTTTTTTTTTTTTTTTTTTTATGCTTTGCTGATAAGTAAAAGAGAAGACAAGTCAGTAGGAATTTGAGCCCCTACCCTTTAAAAGAATTCATCATATAGCTCGATGATGCTATTGCCAAGGCCCTAGCCCATTAAATTGAAAGAAGGAAATTTAAGGCGCCATATGAGCCAAAAAAAAAAAAAAAGATAAAAGAGTCTTGAATTTGAACATACACGTCCAATGTTCTGACAACCAAAACAAGTATTAAATAAATTAAAATCTGGTATAAATGTATGACGATTACTAACTAGATCTGGTAAATCTCAATATAGGTTTATTTCGGGACTACAAATTTTTGTTTTGTATCCCAAAACCTAACGACCACCTTCATATTCAAAGAAGGAAATTTTAAGACTCAATTATCTATGAGCCAAAAAAAAATGTAGTCCTGAAATTGAACATATACATCCAATCTTCAGACAACGAAATCTAAGTATTAAATAAATTGAAATCCAATTTTATTTAGTATAATTATACGATGATTATTAAGTGGATCCCGGAATTTCAGATTTAGAAAAGGGTGCAGTTTGTATAGATCCGAGGCCCTAAACAATCAAAGTAGAGCACACTTTTAAATAGTATTGAGAAATGTAGTTTCAATACTGGAAATGTTTGTGATAGCCTTAAAATATATATTCATCTCTAATTACAAAATTTAAAGGTTCCAAAATAGTGTATATCAAGCAAATCTATGAAAAGTTAAAAATCTTGAAAATTGACGATCCAAAAATGTATTACAAGATACACTATTTTCAAAATTAGAAATCTATTTTTTTCTCATATCCATGTATCTTGGTGTCACGATGATCAATTTGAGAATATATATGTATCAGAACAACCTCTTCTAATGAAAATTTTGATGTGAATTCTAATTTGATTGTTTAGAGCCTCGGCTCTATGTAAACTTTTTCCTTTAGAAAATCCTCTGAGTAACTTATTTTTGTGATCTATTTTTACCGACCCAACTTTAGATGGGCCAGGGCCGGCCCTTAGGGGACTAGTGCCAGGACTGGCCCGGGCCGGCCCGTTGCCAGCCTAAAACGGAAACTAGATCCGAAATAACCAACGCGTGTATTGGCATGATAAATGCGGGCCCTTGCAAGAGATTATTTTGCCTCATTCTAAATACAGGCCTTTCCATGGGATTCTGTTTTATCATCCTCTTGTCCAATTTTCTCTCTTCCACAAAATTGCACAGAGCTTCCTCATGTCCAATTTTCTATCTCTTCAACACAATTGCACAGAGCTTCCTCATGTCCAGTTTTCCCGCTCTTCCGCATAATCACACATGAGCTTTGTGCATCATCCATATAAAAACTAGTGGTGTAGGGACCTGCAAAGTATTTCAACCATGGCGTGCCTGCGACCTGTCCTTCTGACTCTCTGCCTCTTCTCTCTGCAACTCTTCCTTGTGTGCGTTAATGGCAACGCAGCTCTGATCGAGAAGACGTGCAAGACCACGTTGTACTACGATGTGTGTGTCGCTGCTCTGAATTCGGACCACTCTAGTGCGAAGGCAGACGTGCCGGGGCTGGCGGCCATAGCCCTTAAGAAGAGCTTGGGCAAGGCCACTGACACCAAGAATTACATCGCAGGGCTCGGCCAGGACCCCGCCATCAGCGACTGTGCTGAGAACTACGATGATGCCGTTGACAACCTTAACCAATCGGTTGGTGCCCTCGCTTCGCGGGCTTTCGACGATGTCAACACCTGGGTTTCTGGTGCCATGACCGATGCCGACTCCTGTGAAGATGGCTTTGAGGGAAAGCCTCCCAATCCCTTGGGCCAGAGGAATGAAGACCTCAACAAACTTTGCAGCATCACCTTAGCCATTGTCAAACTCATTTGATTCTCTCTCTCTCTCTCATGGCGCCTTAATAAAGCAAATGAACAGCTCAATAATGCCGCACGGCATAGAAATTGTTACCAAGTAGGTTTGTGGCCAAGGACTTATGTTTTGTGCCTGTGGGTTATGATGGTTCCGTTTTCATTACTACGATAAATGGACCACAATTTTTTTTTTTTCTTTTTTGGGAGCCCTTTACCTTATTATGATCCAAATAAGTCATTACCAGCGATCGCAAACTCCGCCGGTCTGACTCGGAACCAGCCGGTCAAACTGGAACTAAACACTAGCCGATGCGATTTGGATTGGTTTTGGTGGACTGGTTAGGTATTTAAAAAAAAAAAAAATCTAAAAGAATATATAAAATGTAAAAAAAAAAATAGAGATTTGTTTGTAATGTGTTTTTGAATTTTTTGATCATTTTTTGTAAAGATTGGAAATTGTTTGGCCATAAATATTTATTTTTACATTTTTTCCATTCTTTTTTAAAAATATCAAAAATACCTTTAAGTACAAATAGATTTTTTAAAATCTATTTTGCTTTCACTACTATTAAGCTTTATTTGGACGTGCTTTGTCTGATCACATGCTTTAATTATACTTTTTATTTTTAAAAATTTGTTTTGTATTTTTTAATTTGTAACTCTTTTTATACTGGCTAGGACATGTCCGGTTTGGCCAATTGTTGGGACCTATATGGTTAGGCTAATTGCTTGGACCTGCCCTGAGATCAATTTTTAGGAATAGTCCAATTTTTCGAACACTGGTTATTGTAGAGGAAAAGTGTCAGACCGACTGCTTATAAGGTAAAAGCGACAGACCGACTTCTTAAGAACTTTAAGCCGGTCCGAAGGAGCTTATTGGGGATTAGAATCTGGTCACACAAAGTTTCTTAGGCTGAGTTAGGTAGACTTGCGTACGTGGAATGACGGTGTTTAGATAAGAAAGAGAAACCCAAGTCAAAATATGAGAGTATTTTGATTCAAAAAACTTAACTTTTACTTTATAGCATAGTTGTACATAAAAATAAATTTGAGATTAATAGTACGATTTAAGAACAATTTATGCGTGGGTGCATAATCCTTGAAATTCCTGTCAGGTGGAGTATTCAATTTCCCTGCAATTTTCTCGTCCCCAAAAGACTTTATTCGTTTTCAAATCAAGATTTAAAAATCGTATCGGGTGGTGTTTAAGTGGGATTTTTACAACCTATTGGCCTATTTATGAGAAAATGTCACAAATTCTTATCTACACAACGGGCGTAAGAAACCTTACACAACGGGTCTAAGAAACCTTCGAATGAGTAGCCAGAATGGCAATCCACGGTTCGAGCCGATTTGGTGAACCAATCATAGTCTCTAACCCATTCAAGCATATTTTAGTGTCAGACTGACTTGTTAGGAACTTTAAGTCGGTCCAGACTGGCTCCTTGGGGAGCAGAATGTGGTCAGAACGCTAAGTTTGCTAGACTTAATTAGGGAGAGACATTGTGTATGTGGAACATAGTCAGCAAGTATGCGACTATCAATAAATCGGCTCACCATAAAATCATAAATAAATTGTTTTTATTTTAAAAAATCGGATGAAAAAATACCGATCGACAAAAATACTTTATAAAACGATATTGCTAATATATTGGATTAGGTTAAAAAAATCGAAGTCAAAAAATTGGATAAATTTATAATATTAGAAATTTTTAAATTCTAAAAAATAAAAATTATGTCAAAACCATCAATTACTAATTCCTCTATAAAAATTTTATTAGACTAATATAATTAAGTCAATCAAGTTAGATGTCTCGTGACTCTCATCCAATCATCTAATATTAAATATATAATTGATTAATATATAACAAAAAAAAGTACCATATAAATCTATCCATTAAATACTTTAAGAAAGATCACGCCTACTTATTACATACAAAAATAACTATACTATATAAATTTATTCATTAAAATGCTTTAAGCATGGTGTGGTGACAAATATACTATAAATTTATTCATTAAATACTTAAACATAACTCCTACTTAGCAGGTACCAAAAAATAAATACACGATTTTTGTTTTCTCATTACAATTATTTAACTATGGTATGGTGACTATGGTCACTCCATAACTATGGTTAAAGTTTTATAAATTTATTTAGTTGAAAAGAAGTTTCGTAGAAATTTGGGTTTTACATCTGTGCTTACTGTTTAGAGAGAGAAGAAGGAAGACCGACGAAGGAAGAAGAGAAGAAGAGAAAAGAGAGAAGAGAGAAGAAGAGAGAAGAGAAGAATATAGAGCTCGGCTCATAGCCATTAGGGTTTATATAGAGAAGAAGGAAGAAGAAAATGATTTTCACAAAGCCTAATGGAATGGACCCTAACTGATTTTTAGAGAGAGAAAAGGAAGAACCCTAATGGAAGATGCCCTAACTGATTTTTAGAGAGAAAAAAGGAAAATGCGATGCTGATTTAGGAAGATGAGATGTTGATTTGGGATAGTTTGAAGAGGGCTTTTTTCTCTGATTTGGGATAGTTTAAGTAGGGTTTTTCATTTTCTTGAGTAAACAAAGCTGAAGGATTAAGTTTGGGGAACTAATCCTATATATACAATTGCTTGCTCCTGTAAGTCTACAGTTTACACAATTAAACGCAAAATATTGATTACTTGGTCCTGTAGTCACACTCTCTCCTTCTCATTCATCAGTAAAAAGTTATGCTTTGAGCTTTAATATGTGCCATTAACAGTATTTTCATAAAAACAATTATCACAAATAATCACAGCAATATGCGTGTATATGATTTCTTACACAATAATTTACTTTACAAAATGATTTGCTATAAACTGTATTTCATTTACACAATGATTTTCCAGAAGGACAACTGAAATTTGTATCTATTTGATTAAGTTTTTTTAAAAAAATCATACCATCAATCTGTAACTCTGGTTTTGAAGAACACAGTGGGGATAAAAGTTTCTATTTCAGTTTTTTTTTTAAGTAATTTTTTTTTAAAAAAAGCATGAAAGTAGAAATGGTGACAAAACAGGAAAAAAAATATTTTTCAAAAAAAAATATAGGTAAAAAAGGATGCAATTTTTTTTCCCTGATTTAAATCGTATTATGAAAAAAAACCTATTTTAAACGGGTTTATGAAAATTACGAGATTTTTTGCTGACCTTATCAAAAAGTCGCTATTTAAAACTGTTTCCATAAAAATGCCGAATTTTTGAAAAAATCGCGGATCAAACGGCGCTTTGCTAACTATGTTGTGGAATTAGGTGGTGTTTTTCCGACAATAAAGATAAAAACACACTAAAAAGTGAGGGTATTTTGATTCAAAAAATTTCACTTTTAGTTTAAGTGGTAGTTGTACATAAAATTAATTTAGAGGTTAATTGTACGATTTAACAAGTATTTATGTGTGGATGCATAGGCCATGAAAGTCTACGTGAATGCATAGGCCATGAAAGTGTATGTGGATGCATAGGCCAAAAAAATCTATGTGGATGCATAGGCCATGAAAGTCACGGAAAGACTACTTGTTTCGAAGCAAGGTTTAACCATCGGATCGGGTAGTGTTTTGGTAATTTTTTTACACCACCTAAACTTCATATTGGCCTATTTCTGAGAAAAGAGTCACAAATGCTTATCTACGCAATGGGCCTAGAAACCTTCAAATGGATAACCAGAATGGCAATCTGCTTTCTGGCTATCCGCTGGTTCCAGTCGATTTGGTGAACAATTTGGATTGGAAATCTGGATTTGGATAGGCTTTGAAGAGTGATTAGGTCGATCCCTCTCAAGAGCAGAGACTTATTTGATGGCCACATCTTGCAGTGAATGCCCACTACAACAATCCCATACATTTGAAACCAAGTTGCCTATCATCGAGAAATTGATTTCAAGAAACCCAAACACCCAAGAACTACATTTGGTGTAATAAATTTAGAAAAAATAAAAAAAAATTAAGAGAAATAAAATAGGAAATGCAAAACCACAACAACACACCACAAACAATTATCCAATCATCACGAATACAAAAATTTATATAGTTCACCCTACTCAAGCTACATCTAATAAAAACAAAATTCAGAATCCTAGCTAAATTCACGAATCCTGGTTTTTGGAATGGCAACATTAAAAATATTACTCTTTCGTTTTGAAAGAACGTAACAAGATAGAAAAATTTACATTGCATATAACAACGTAGGAAAGTGTCTATTATTACAATTGTATCACCATTATATATACAATGATAGCGTGGGGTACAAGTATCTTCTAAAAAGTTCATTTCTCTCTCTAAATTCTTTATGGTATGTTGATAAAATAGATCAGAAGGAGAAGAAAAATCACAGCACAAAAGCATGTATGTAGTTCGGCTGGTTTGCCTACATCCACGAAGGAGAACTACTATCTTATTTTTCTCATAGGATTACAATAGTTTCTCTTCCTTATATGAAGATACAAGATAAGCACAATTCAAAAGAAAATCCGTAAGATAAAGGCTGACATGGCTGGTACAAAATTATTCTTCCGTAATCTTCTCATCACTCCCCTTCAAGTTGGGCTCGAAAATGTCAAAGGATCCCAACTTGGACAAAATTTTAGAGAATCTCAACTTTGTAACAACTTTAGTAAATATATCTGCCAATTGATCTTCGCTTTGAGCAAACGGTGTATCTATGATTTTAGCTTGAACTTTCTCTTGAACGTAATGACAATCAATCTCGATGTGTTTTGTTCTTTCATGAAAAACCGAATTAGAAGCAATATGGATAGTAGCACGATTGTCACAAAATAATTTCATTTGTAGCTTTGTCTGAAAACCCATGTCATAAAGAAGATACTTTAACCAAATGAACTCACTTGTTGTTGACGCCATGGCTCTGTATTCAACTTCCGTATTGGAGCGAGCCATAACATTTTGTTTTTTACTCCTCCACATGACCAAATTTCCTCCTACCATTGTACAGTAGCCAGTAGTGGACTTTTTATCGTCAGGGCTACCAGCCCAATCGGCGTCAGTGTAACCAACAATATCAACATTGCCATTACATTTCATTAAAGTACCTCTTCCTGGGGTAGTTTTTAAGTACCTTAGGATTCTATTAACCGCTTCCAAATGAACAG